TTGGCTCGTGGCTAACAGCTGGAACGCGGATTGGGGAGACAATGGTTGCTTCAAGATTGAAAGAGGCACCAACCAGTGCCAGATTGAGAACCCTATCATCAATGGCGGCCCTGTGGCTGGCTTGCCAAAGCTCTGCTTGGCTGAAATGGTTGTCTAAATCTGCACCTGCAGGGCTTGGTGCCTGGCCGTTTCTCGACAGAACTTCGGCCGCTTTTAATATCTATACGCTATGCTCTTTGCTTCGATAGTGCCCAGCACGATCGTATAGCATAGCAGGTTTCCCTGCAGTTCACATCCAAGAGGCTTTTGGTCGTGGATGTGGCAGCAGTGACAAGTGTGAAAAGAATTGAACAGATGTACGACGAACTCGGCATACATGTCATGTGTAGCGCATGATGTAGAACTCGCGGAGTTGAGCCAGTCTCATTTCATTTCTCCAGCCACGAACAGCAAGGCTGTTTGTTACTGGTGGCAGGTTGATGGTGTTGTTTCACGTTGTTGCATGTTTTGGCCTTTGTTTATTACTGTACTAGTACTTGAACAAGCTTTCTCCATTCTGCGTGCATTGAGAAGGCATTGCTGCTTCGACCCAAGTGCCTAGTAGCCCTGAGCACAGAGCTTCACCAGTTTCCAGCCACACCATTGATCCATGGCGCTGCGTCGCATTGTGTTCGCTTCGGCATGTGCTGCCGCCTCAGCTCGCTTTGCTTCCTGGGAAAGCCATGGAGAGCTGATGGACGAGGAGGCCTTGAAACAAAAGGCCGTGACCCAGGAGACTTCGTTCTGAATCATTGAGTGTTCTTGATGTTGAATTATTTAGCGACCTTGTCACCCGCCACCGGCTCCCGAAAACCACCATGCACCTTTGGTGGCGCTTTGGGTCCATTTCATGTGAGAAGTGCCTTCAAGGAGTTGATCGATGCGGTGAACTCCGCAGAAGGCAAGACATGGGTGGCAGGTGAAAATGTGCGCTTCGCTGGTGCAACGTTGCACGATGCGAAGATTTTGATGGGCACCTTGCAGGATGTGGAGAATATCACTGTGCTGCCATACAAGGTGCATAGACGCGCAATGATGCACATACTTTACTCTATTCTGTTGTTTTGTTAGGCAAGTAGTGGGCACCTTCTCCGTGCACGGCGGTATCGCTTTATCTTGAAACATTGGATCATTCATCAAAGGTGTCAGCGTGATTTTCATGCCATCGAAAAAACCAAGGCGGTGGAGAAAGTGGTGGACCTTCCAGAGCAGTTCGACTGGCGCACAGACGCTCGTGCCACGAACTGTGCAAGCCTGAAGGAGATCCGTGACCAGGCTGACTGTGGCTCCTTTCCTGCACACAATGAACATAGCATGTCCCTGCGTGTCCTATGATGTCTCCAAACATCTTCAATCAAATCATATACCCGCAACATCGAATCTCCTCTTGAATTGACACAGTGAAGCCTCAAAGAATAGAACAAAACCTGAGAGGCAAAGATCAGCAAGGGCCGCAAGGGATGAAAGTAGCCTAGGTTCATGCTGGGCCTTTGGCTCAGTGGAGGCTATGACAGACCGCATTTGCATTGCCAGCAAGGGCCAGAAGAAGATTCATCTTTCTGCGGAGGATGTTACTTCATGTGACACATTGGGAGATATGGGCTGCAACGGAGGAATCCCTTCCACGGTCTACACTTATTACAAGAGTTTCGGGATTGTGGATGGTGGCAACTACGGTGACAAGTCCATGTGCTACTCTTATCAGCTGAAGCCGTGTGCTCACCACAGCACTTCAGCCCACTACCCCAATTGCACTGCAAGTGAGGCAACCCCCCAAGTGTGCCCGCAAGTGTGTGGACAACGGTGCCTCGTGGCGTGGCAGCAAGCACTACGGCACTGGTGGCTACAGTGTTTGCCAGCAAGGGGACAGCAAGTGCGCTGATGCTATGATGCAGGAGATCTATCAGAATGGCCCTATCACTGGAATGTTCTTTGTGCATCAAAGCTTCCTTTCCTACAAGTCAGGTGTCTACAAGGCTGGTTTCTTCTTCAAGGACCCAATGCTCGGTGGGCATGCCATCAAGATCATGGGCTGGGGAACTGAGAATGGAACTCCTTATTGGCTCGTGGCTAACAGCTGGAACGCGGATTGGGGAGACAATGGTT